AGAGACGCAGCAGAGGCAAGCTGCAACGTTACAACGTAGGGGCGCCTTTTGAACGTATCGCCTTTGACATCCTGGGACCTCTGCCACGAACTGCTGATGGCAACAAATACATACTCGTTGTCGTTGATTACTTCACCAAGTGGCCTGAAGCGTATCCTATTCCTGATCAAGAGGCTGTTACAAGTAGCTGAGGTGATGATACAGCACTGGATTTCCAGGTTCGGAGTGCCTCTTCAGTTACACATTCCGATCAGGGAAGGAATTTTTACCTCGGTAGTAATCAAAGAACTATGCAAACTACTACTCGGCATTGACAAGACCCAAACGACGCCATTACATCCCCAGTCGGACGGCATGGTAGAGAGGTTCAATCGAACCATCCTTAATAACCTCTCATTAGTGGTTTTCAGAAACCAGCAGGACTGGGACAAGAAATTATCGCTGTTTTTACTGGCTTACCGCAGTGCTGTCCACGAGACTACCGGCTATTCTCCATCACAGATGCTCTTCGGTCGTGACCTTCGTCTGCCTTGTGATCTATTGTTTGGCCGCCCTCCGGATGCTCCTTCATCGTCTGAGGAATATATTCAAGATCTCCAGGCCCGGTTTGAAGTGATGCACAATTTTGCACGAGAGCGAGTCAACTTGGCGACGGAGAAGATGAAGACCCGATACGACACAAGAGCTACTGAACATCAATTCCACGAAGGAGACAAGGTGTGGTTGTGGAATCCAACTCGACGGAAAGGACTTTGTCCGAAATTACAGGCACCTTGGGATGGGCCGTACACAGTCCTAAACAGGCTGAATGACGTCGTGGTTCGGATTCGTAAGTCTTCGAACTCTAAACCTAAAGTCGTTCATTACGACAGGTTAGCTCATTACTATGGCCATAGTACGTAATGTAAATAATTGTAAATAGTATCAGACCATGGTCCTTTTTTGTTTATAATGTGTATGTTGATTTGATTTTGTATTTGTATTTGTATTTGTATTGATTTGTATTTGTATTGTATTTGTTTTAGTATTTGATAGCATTTGATTTGTTAAGTTAGTTATTGCATTTATTGTTTATATTGTTTGATATTGTAATGTAACGTTTATGCCTCATTTGCATTTATGCCACAGTTGTAAGTTTAGCTTCCTGTCCAGGGATTGTACTGCCCGGGACGTGCAGTCCTTGGGAAGGGGGCAGGTTACGAATTTGGTATTTAAAAAGCTAATGTTAGTTCAATTATAAATTAAATGGTTTTTTTTTCTTCTCGCGCAGTGCAGCGCGTGACGAATTATAAAAGAAAACTAAGCCGGAAAAATTGAAATACAAGAGCACGTGCATTTAACATTAAATAAATAAATATGTCTTTTTGATTTCGAGAAAGTACCAGAAAATTCTCGCACGCGATCTAAAAGTCTTATAAAAGGAGGAAAACCTCTCAGTTCGTAGCAGTTACGTAGTTTGTTGTTTAGAAAACTGCTCTTGTTAACTGTAGCGAATTCGCGGATTAGCTTTCTTTAGCTGTTTTGAATTACGTTCTATTGGACATTTGAGTAGTTAAAAGATAACTACTGTGAGATATCGTAATACTGCATGATAATTTGAGAAAATTTAAGCATTTTTGTTGTGATAATAATAAATTTTTGTTCATTTTTCATCGGACTTGTGCATTCATTTCGTAACGAACCCGTACGCACGCAACAATATTATATGATGAAGGTTTTATTGAAATGTTTCATTGATGCCTAGACTGAACCTTCAGTACTAGAACCTAGATTGAACCTTCAAGTACAGGAATGCACGACTGTAGGTCTAGAAGACAGCATTGAAGGTGCAGGAGGGTGTGACTAATTGTCACAGGAGTAACAAAGACATCTGATAAGTCAAGGCGTGTCCAAAGCAGAGGATTTAGTTGCGTTTATCAAAAGTCGACCTTGTAGAGTAATTAGGTTTTTTTAAAGTAGGAAACACTTGAAAAATGAGCAATTCCCGGGCCGGGTCTCGAACCTGGACCTCTCGAATACGCGCCGAGTGTGCTAACCATTACACCACGAAGACATGCAGAAAGGAGGGAGAAAACCTCACTTAATCATAAATACAATTCGTTGATTATGTGATAAGAGACCACAGTATTGAAAAATTTTTAAAAATTGTGCAATAGCCTCTCATGGAGAAATAATTGCAATTTTAAAACACAAATATATATAAGTAAGTAGGTAAGAACACAGTGAGATGCAGAATAAATAGAAAATAAATATATATGTACAGAATGCTATTAGCAAAACTTTTCACATCAATTGGAAAAATGACAAAGTAGCAAGTCACGTGAGACCACATTCACTCTCATTTAGAGATGTAGAGCCGTTTACATTAAGTTTGCAATGATGCAAATGGGATTATCAAGTAAATACATTAAGTTGGAAAATTTTGATTATCGTGGAGAAAAAAAGCTGCATATTGTGCAGATGCTTTATAATGAAATAGATTAAAATATTTCAGGTGCTGACAATAGGGGGCAGAGTTTCAAAATTTCTCATTTGTTCTGTTCAGGAACTTGTCTAAAGGCTCAATTTTTAGATCATCGGTCAATAGCTTGTTCCTCACATAGAAATGTACATTTCTATGTGAATTTTCGCAGGAATCGGTGGAATTTTACACCACCTGTAGTTTCTGAATATCATTTTTGATGACGGAGGCCCATGCTGACGAGGCGTACAGGACGTATCGTGGAGGTGTAGATGAATCTCTCTTTACAGAGATCTAATTTTGAATGCTTTCAAATCAACAGGCAGAGGCATTCATAATTTAACTGCCTTGTCTCGAACATGTTTTATATGATGCGATCCGGTCAGTTTGTCATTAAGAATCACACCTAGGCAGCGAACTTGTTTTACAATCGGAACACATTCAGTAAATAAAATCAACCTTTTTTTTATTTTGACATTCCTCTCTTCTCTCCTAACGACAGGCAGCTGATATTTTGTGCATTCATAGCAATATTCCAATTTTTGCTTCACTCTTAGAATATCGGAATGTCTTCCTGTAGTTTCCAAACACTCATTTCCTCCATCTGAACGGATTAAAAGTTCAGCATGCATTTAAAGAAAATTCGAATACACTTTCATGTTGCATGAGGGAAAAAAGAGAATATGTGTTTCTCTTTACCCTTGTAAAATACGCTATTTTGTTAATGACCGCATGCAGAGTCAAAATTAGTCAACAATGTAGCGCACAGTTCATTTTGTTTTAAATTTCTGATTCTAAACAAAATCCATTGATTCAATACAAAGCTTTATTTTTAAAGTAATTAATAAGGATTTTATTATTCGCTTGAGTTAAAAAAATGAGAATTCCCCCCCTTTTTTTTTTTTTTTTTTTTTTTTTTTTTGCTATTTCAAATTTATAGACATACTGCGCATACATTATATTTACTACTCTGGCGCAAGAACACGTATTACATAAGTAATACTTTTCAACACAAAACTTAGACTAAAATCTGACTAAAATTATAGATACAAAATTTTCTAAATATCACATTACTAGAAAAAATATATTTGATAAAAATTACTTTGGGATGCCCACATCGCTAGAATATCGCTTCGCAGCAGAATGGAGGTATAGTTTTTAAAACGCGCGAAAAGAGTTGATGAAGGTTAGTGACATTACACTACTTCCTGTTAACTCCAGTGCTTAAATTGCGCCGGAGCCCACTGGAACCCGGATCCGGTACTTCTCAATTTTTAAGATAAATTGCAAGAGTGATTTTAAGATAACAACAAGAGTGAAATACTGAGATAAACTGCTCTTCCCATAATATCCACTAATGGGGGGAAGCGTAACCAGCAACTTTACATTCATCCTTAGGAGTCAGATTCAGGACTCATTTTACCCCTGACACACATATGTTTAATGCTATAATTATATCAGCAGAGAGCAGCGGTCAAAGAGAATGTTCTCTCTCACCAAGGTTCCCCTCATTTTTTTGTTTCCACCCCCTCACACCATACGCCCTTCATTACTGTTTCGCCCTGTTTTTAGCATTATCTTAATTTTCATCAGCTATACTTATAAGTATATTTAATTTTTTGTGATGATAAAAAGAACTTTCCCCTACGATCAGAGTTTCAGTTGGAGCCCGGATTAAACTGAACTCTGGTGCTTCTTAGTTTTTGTAATAAATCATAATTCTAGCCGGAACGTACCGGAGCCCTGAATAAGAAGGCTGTGGCACTTTCTTTGATGTAACTGAATAACGATTTCAGTAGAAATTTTATCTCGTAAAATTTTATTTTAACAATAAAAATTATATTAAAAATCGCTTATTAAATTTCAATTTATCTCTTTCACATTTTATTTAATTTTAATTATTTAATTATTTCAAACTTTAATTATTTCAATAAATAACAATTAACTATCTAATAATTATTAACTAAATTATAATTAATTAATTTTAACTATTGATTAAATAACAATTTATAAACATTAATTAAATAGCTATTAATTACTAATTCAGAAGTCCAACAACAAAAATCAGCATTATATTTCAAATTTTCACTAGTTTCGATGGTGGTTCAGTAAAATCATCGAAACTAGTCCTGTGAAAATTTGAAAATATAACGCTGATTTTTGTTGTTGGACTTCTGAATTAGTATTTGTGTCTTAGCTATTAATTAACTTGATAATAATTAACTATTTAATTTTTAAATTATTAATGAGCTTAATGGTCATTATATTTATTTATTTACTCTTGGTCTTCTTTCCTGACGGTCTTCCATAGGCTCCGGCACTTCTAATCTTGGAACTTAAGCCCTGGTTAACTCCCTACGAGGATCGCATTGACAAAGGGTCACTAAAAGGAATAAATTACCTTTCTCTTTAACCCTGACAAACACGCGTAGCTATCAGGCCAGAAAGACTTAGCGGGTGCAAAACAAGACATCTGTCTACTTTGTCTGTCTGTCTGTCTGTCTTATCATATATTAAACAAGAAAAATTACTTTAACTATGGCGACAGAAACATAGTGTGGTTGCCATGGTAACGGAGTGTGTCCTTCGAAGACCACAAGTAGCGTCTGTGCTGCTTAGAAAAACCGGTGTAAATAGAACTCCTTTTCCACGGCTAAGTGAAGGTGGCTTTCAGCTCTCGCTTCAGATTTGAGTTGACCTTTAAGCGTTATCATGGCTCTTAAAATTATTTTATTTTTGGGTTCCGTAAGAGAAGGAAGAAATTGCGCTAGAGTTGGAAACTTTATCAAAAAACAGATTGAGGCAAAAAATCATTCTGTCACTGTTTTTGGTAAGTACATCGAAGTTATTTAGACTGTTTTATGGCATTAAATTTTAAAATTAAAAAGTAGACATGCCTAAGGTTATAAGTGTAACACATTTCAAGGGGAATGAAAAGAATTGACTGATTTTTGATACTTAAATTTTGCTTTGAAGTGTAATATCAAGTTGATTTTGAATGTAAATACTGCAGTTAAAATGTATCCCGTGAATTGAATGAATCATTAGGTAACGTATGTTAAAATTTTCATCAAATTTTAATATAGCTTTTCATATAGAAAAAAAAAAAATCATATAGCTATAGGTATTATTGCTTATTTCTTCTATTAAAAATCTTAAAAGAGTTTAGTATTTTATGTGAGTACTTTTCAAAACAAATATATAATCTGAGGAGCATAATTACAAAATCTAATAAGTAATATCTGCCACAATTTTCTGATCTAATGCTAATTTTCATAGTTCATAACAATCTCAGCATTTTAATGAAGTTTAAAGGTCTATTGCAATAGCATGATGAAGCATAAATTTAAATTTATGTTTTATCTAGTACAAAGTTCTAAAAATTTGAACTGAATGTATATGTGCCATGACAGATGTTAAGTATAAAATGCTGTAAAAAATCAGTTCCTGTTTGCAAATTTGATCAGATAGGTTGATTTCTGATAATTGAGTTAAATGCTTAAGGTTTCATCATTTTCTCAATGTATGACATGAGTACAAGTTAGTTGTGCTTAGAAAATCCAAAGCACTACTCCTGAGGCAAAGGGCTATTCTTTAATTTGTGCTGTTTGATTGAATAAACAGTTAAAATAATAATGCATTATGCATTTAATAAACTTATATCTGATATTTTTTACTTGAATTGCCAATCATGTATCCACATAAAAGATGAAATGCTTGATTCTTCAGTAACAAATTTTTAATTGTATTGCAAATGAACAAGGTAAAATGGACTTTATAGGACAACTTGTATATAGTAGCATTACATTTTAAGTATTGTATCACCATTTTTCATGTTAGTTATATATTTTTTGTTTTAATACTTGTTTAGTTCTGATTTAAGATTTTAAACTGAATTTAAGATATTTATCTATTCACTGAATATGTTGTTATTCTGCAGTACTATGATGACTGTGAAATTTATTTTCAAATACTTGATTTGTACTTGTGGGAAAGATATTCTAGAGTTATATTCTCATTGCCTTGAAGATCTATTGTCAGAAAATAAAACAGAGTTTTCTTTCTTTATTTATTTTTAAACTGAACAAAAGCAGTTTTTAATGTTTCCTCATCCACTGTGAATGGATCATTGTCTCTAAAATATCATGATAGTACTTATAATAATCTGAATATTTATGTGTTCTGTTCTATTTTGCTTAGACGAATGAAAATTTTATGATTATGCATAAAAAATTTACTCTACTTACTGTATACTACATAATGTAATAACCATGTTTTTTTCTATTACATTTTGAATATATTTTAGTACTCCTTTATCATTTTATGATGTAGCAGCATTTCTAATTTGCTCAAAGGAATTTGAATTAATGATGTCAGTATCAGATTATTTGCTGCTCACTTGTTATTAAGGTCTTCTGCATGAACATTTTCTTTTTTCCTTTAATGATCTTCTTTTCCTATTTTACCTTTTTTAAATCTATTTCTAGAGTAGTTTTTGACAGAGCTATTCTAAGTTCTTGCCTTCAACATATGCTTAGGAGGTCTTCAAAAGAATTTGAAGCTGATGAAGCTAAAACTCATATTTTACATGACTGTCCTTGTTTAAAGCCAATTTTCTGAGACTGAAAAAAAATTAATGTTTGCAGCTGAAATTTTTATAAAAGAAAGGTCAATATTTTACAGATTCTAAAGTTATAAAATATGAAGCAGGAATACTCTAAAACAGATTAACTGAAATTACCCTAAGGGCCAATAATTATCAGTACTTTTCTGTTATCAGAACTGGATTTAGAAATGTATATGTGTGCTTGTGTATATGTATGTATGTAGGTATGCTTGTATATATGTGTGTGTATACACACTCATGTACATACATATATGCATACATTTCTGCATTTCTGAATGCAGTTCCAATAACAGAAAAATACCAAATTATCTCTAAATACAGTGCATAATGAAGCATAAATATTGCAAAACAGTACTACAATGAATGACAAAGATTTTTTTTTAAATGTACAATATTAAGAACAATGTTATTTTGCAGAAATTTAATTAATAAATTAAAAAAAAATAAACTTCCGCAATTAATTCAGACTTAATAAACAATTGAGTTATATACTGCAAAGTAAAAAATCTGAAGTATCTTATTTATTTATTTATCATTATTATTTAATTTGAAAAGTGTTATTTTGATCTAAAAGAAAATAATGGAATGATCAAAAATCAGTTCAGATGACACTAGTATGTTTATATGCTTTGTAAATGAAAATAATGTACTTAGAATTTATAAGTATACATTAGTATGTTTTTTGAATGATGCATTATTTGAAAATGCTATGTTTTTACATACTGCATAATTCAACTACCTACTTGAAAGCTAATTTTTTTTAAATAATTTTTAATAATAACTAACTATATTGCAAAAATGGAAGTTATAGAATACTGTGCATAGAATGTTTTTATTATATGCATATTACAGAAGATAAATTAATGCATGAAATTTGAAATATGCATTTTAAAATATAACTTTGTTTGTATGTAATATGCTACTACATATAATTATTCTAAATTTCTGATTAAGTTTTTAAATGTGTATTCTTTCATTATATAGTATTCAGTTATTAGTTCAAGCATACATTATTGTCTTTACATGTCAAAGCAATAGTAACTTGATTGAAAACATTTAAAAAGGTTTTTGGCTTTATATACACATCTAGTAGAAACTTGTTCTTTGGGGTCATTATAACTTTGATTAAAGCAGTTCTTAAAGGATGTAGAGAGTTAAGCTGACACTAGATTTATTAGTACTTGTTTCTGATTTTAGATTACTATCACAGTTACTGGTCATGCATTTAGAGATTCTTATCTTGTAATTTCAAACTATATTTCAGTCTGGAAAAACCAGTAGCCATTTATTTTCATTAAAAGAAATTTATTGCTATCTTTATCTAAAATCCCTTAGCCTAGATGTTATCAGTATTCATTACTCTTTATTGCTGACAGCATCCTAAAATGGGTCAAAACATGTATTTTTTTTTTTAAACTTTTAGCATTGTATCAAAGATTTAAGAACATTAAAATATGTTTTAAGAACATTAAAAATATGTTTAGAATATGATGATTAAATGAAAACTTTATTGTTCCATTTTTAGTGAAAATTAATTTTTATCAGATTTAAGTTGTTTTAATTGTAATTCACAGCCATGTCAACAAATTTTAATATCTTAGGTAAATCTTAAAATTATGCTGCCATGCTTTTTAAATGCTTTCATTTTAGTATTTTATTTTGCATCCCCTTTTTAATTTTTTATCTAATTTGTTCTTATTTGTTTTACCTTCAACATGGCTGTGCTATAGTTTGAGAATTCTTTTTTTTTTATTAGTAATTTGAAATTATACTTAATATATGTACTATCTTAAAGGTCAGCTAATTTTTAATTTGTAAACTTTTGAGCTGAAAGCATCATTAATAAATTTATTTCTTACCCCCCTTTCATTATGCTTCCTCTGTTTAATATATCAAAAGTATTAAATGCAAAAAATGATTAAAAGCAGTTTTCATTTTCATCTCTATTTCTGTAATTTTATTACTTTAGCTGTTCTGATTTGTAATCATGTTTCCTATTACAGATCCTTTGTTGATGGAGTTTCCCTTATTGAAGAAGCCCTTGCATTTCCATGGACCTAATGAGAAGCCTCCAGAGTGGTTAGTGCAGTATAATGCTGCTATTGAAAGAGCAGATGGCTATGTTGTTGTCTCAGGAGAGTACAACCGATGCATCCCACCTGCACTCACAAACATGATGGATCATTTTCCTCCAAAATCTTACAGATGTAAGCCTTGCAGCATTGTCTGCTATTCTGCTGGTAAGTTTTTTTTTATTATAACTATTAATCTAACCAATATTAGGAATTTGTCAGTATGCACGCACACACTCACACACACACACACATATATGTATGAGTTATATATATATATATATATATATATATATATATATTGTAAAAAAAAAAACGATGGCTTTGCTCTTTGCGAACCAGCAACCTTTAATTACTTTTCTGCAATTCAGGATCGTCCCCTAACCCAGTACCTGCTAGAACATTCACGCCTATTACATAACCTCCTCATATAAATGCTGCGTCATAAGTTTTCTACATTTTCTAGAAGCTACTCTGTTACATAACCATTCATATAAATGCTGAGTCATAAGTTCTCCTAGACAGATGCCTTCTCGCCTTCGTCTGCTAACGCTTCCGCTATGCTCCTCTTTCTTTGTTAGAACGTTATGACATATTAAAGTTTTAAAGTCAGTCGTATCTAATAGTTCAATTACTGAATAAGTTATTTGATTAACTTCATCTGGAAAAAGTCATCTGCTATAAATTAAAATAAAGATATGCTTGCTGTTAAAAGTGAAAAGTCCTGAGTCGTCATTTTTCTCCGTACTTCAATCATCCCAGCTTCGTCAACCATCTGCCAGAACGTGTAATGGAATAGCCTCACCATTCGCCCACGATGTGATGGAATAACTGAAAACATTACAGTTATTAATTAGTCGACAGGATTTATCCTCTACTTGGGAAAAAAGCTCCTGGATTTATTTATAACGCGCTTCTAAATTCAACAGTGGGTCAAGGACAGTGTGTGATCGTCTGATGCTTGTGCTTCTTTTCCGGCGATTCTTAAGTACTTTCCCTCGTCTCCAAAGTTATGCGTTTTATCAAGTGCTTCTAAAGTTATTGATTTTAGTGTTCAAATTGATGTGTATGCGAACTCTTAAATTCAAGATTTTGTGATTGGAATGTTAACACGCTCAAAAACGGCAAAAATGTCAACTGATAAGAAAGAATCCGTAGCCATTGTGGATACAATAAAATTTCAAATCCCTATTTTTGATGGAACAAGTACAAATTTTCCAATAGACAAATATCTTCTATTGTTTGAAGAGAAATGTGCCGCAAAGAACATTCTAGAAAAAATGTAGAAAACTTATGACGCAGCATTTATATGAGGAGGTTATGTAAATGGCGTGAATGTTCTAGCAGGTACTGGGTTAGGGAACGATCCTGAATTGCAGAAAAGTAATTAAAGGTTGCTGGTTTGCAAAGAGCAAAGCCATCGTATTTTTTTTTTTTTTTATTATAACTATTAATCTAACCAATATTAGGAATTTGTCAGTATGCACGCACACACTCACACACACACACACACACACATATATGTATGAGTTTATATATATATATATATATATATATAAAGTTCAGTTCATGAACAAATTATTTGAATATAAAACACCTTATATGACTAAAAGTGTCTCAAGTTACAAATACTCAGCTGAGCAACATAAAATTTTCAAAGGTGTTTTGAGGTAACCTGTGCCACATCATTAACGTTCAGAACTTTCTGCAAACATCATTTTAATATTTTCCATTATTTAACTCTCATTAACAGTCTGGCAGCTAGTAACTTATAAAAGCATCACTTGGCCTGGAGGACATTATGGTCAAATTGGGTTGCATGTATAGACTTTGAGCATTTGTCTTTTTTGTTTTTTATTATATTGTGTCTCAAGGCAAAACCATGGGCTAGGAAGTTAACAGTAAAGATGTGGAGAAGTTACTTGAAGAGCATAAGAATGAGAGCAGTAAGAAAGAACCAATCTTCAGAAGCATCAATAGAAGGCAATTGGGGGAGAAACGTTTCAGCAGAAGAGGAAGAATAAAATTCTCAAAGTACTTATAAAGTTAAAAACTGTTTTAGGTCTGATATTTAATTTGAGGGTAGTTTATAAAGAAAAAAGAGTACTTGTATTCTGCACAACCTTGGTGAGAGAAAACAGCATTGGTTTATCAGCTTTAAGATAGTATAATTGGTTACCAAATGTATAAACATGCATGAAAAAAGTGACTACGGTAAATGATAAATCAACAATACTTTCGATATCTGTACAACACAAGTTATTTAATATATTCATACATGATGATTTTAATACAAATTTATATTTATTATAGTATTTAATACAACTGTATACACAATTTAGTTAAAATAACAATTCAATTTAACAGAACTTTTAAAATAAATATATTAATTATTGTGTTTAGTCCAATTATATAAGTAATTTATTTAACCACTTGCACTATGACTAAACTTCATGGTTACTGTGCTGTGTGCTACAATATAACAAGCGGTAAAGTGTCTCATTTACACCGCTCCATGTCTACGAGTGCAATCCAGAGCTGTAACTCGAGAAATATACAATCTCGTTGTTAGGCGGCACCACGTTATTTTCATTTTTGCACGCAGTTTTAGACAAAAGCATCTCGACGTGCATGGCATGTCTTTTTAGCACAAGTGGTTAAATTAAGGACATCTAGGTACTTGCATGTTACTGCAATCACCTTAGCAGAATTAGCCAAATTTTTAGAATTTGCCATGCATATAACGATCCTTCAGGCAACCATGCTCATAATAATCCTTCACTCAGACAATGTCACTATTTTTTTATAAACAGATTGTGGTATGTTTATAATTAATTCTTCCCCTTCCCCAAATGGCGAGCGCTTGCCTATAATGGCATTGGCCACTACTAAGGCCAGAAGTGGTGGACATTTTATTGCAGAGGCACCTAATACGCAGCCACTGTTACCTCCTATGAAAGGACAGATAATTTTACATCCATGTCTTCTCCGGGATTCGAACCCAAGCCCTTCAGTATCACAGTTAGGCTCCCCTAGCTACTATACCATCTGAGCAGCTCCTTAAACTTAATTCTAAATTATGCACTTATTATTTAATTTGCAAGCAATGAATGAAACTGCAACAAACTTATTATTAAAATTTGCAAGCAATGAATGAAACTGCAGCAAAATGTCTTCAGAAACACAGAATTTTGACACAAAATCTCTAAAAGGAACAATGAGGAGATGTATTTGGTTGATAGTTGATGGTACTGGAGTTTGCATGATGCTATAGTTCTGCAATTCTCTATTTGGAGAAAAGTGTATTTTAATTTTTAATATATCACATAATACTTATTTAATAATTAAAGTTTGTATTTTAAATTACTAAATTTGTAATTAATATACTAATTAATTTCCTTTTCAAACGATAATTTTTGCCAACCTTCAATAAATATTGGTAGTTTGTAAATTAAAAAAAAGTCATAAAGTTTAAAAAAAGTTATGAAAAAAGCTTTTAAAAAGTCATGAAACCCACCAACTTGCACTTGATAATTAACATTTATCTTTTCTACCATAAAAGAGTGTCAGATTGCTCCAAGGTAGTTGTATTAATATCTAAGTACTGACATATATATATATACATGGTGAAATTCTGTTTACTATCTTATTTAATATTATTTTGTTAACAATTTATTTTAAGAAACAAATAAAAATATAAACTTATTGGAAAATTCATTTTTTAGACCTTTTTTAGTGGCCATAGTTCAGCAATTGCTTTTAATAATGCCTCAGATCAACTATAGCTTCTTTTCCACTGATGGAAGATTGAAAATATTAAGCATAAAAAGCATTTTATGATATAAAACCACTGTATTGATACAATGTAATTATGGGAAATCAGTTAAATTGTTAATTGTTTGTTTCTCACTTATGCATAGACTTTTAACTGTTTGTTTCTTCCACATGTGCAAGTTGGTAATCATTTATTTGGTACCAGTGCAGAAAGGTGCCAAATCTACTTTCTTGTAAAAGCCGGTGCAGAAGTGCAAATACTGTAAAAGGTCAATACTTGTCAAGAGTGCTGCTATAAAAGCATTTAATAAATTAAAAAAAAAAAAACAAATTAGTGCACATTACACGTGAAGATTACTAGAAACAAACTCAAATTTGGGGATATTCATATGTTAACTGAGCATGAATGATAAATCAATAACTATTGTTTGTGAGGTTGCAAATATGATTTTTATATACTCACTAATATGCAAAATTAAAATTCCTGGAAAACGTTTGTTAGCAAAATGGTATAATATGAAGAAAAAAGTAATCAGTAATTTCTACGGGAATTAATAATGTGTAGAAAGAAGATGATAGAATATGACAATCACAAATTGCAGGAATTTTTTATTTAGATCTACCCCAAATGATGAAAACTTGGAAAAAAGGACTATGCATGCATTTACCATTAAATTAATGTCTTTAAAAAATGTGATAAATATTTTTCAGTACCTAATATTTAAGATATTATTTTACATTATTTATTCATTGTCTTAGTTCTATAATTATATTATTAATTTAATTTAATTTTGAATCATCAGGTACAAGTAACATTAAAAGAAACATATGAAACTTGTTTCCTTTTTGCATTATTATTTTTCATCATCATTGATTCTGTGTGATGAGAATGGAATCTTCTAAGGATTTTTACTAACGTTCTTCTGCTACAATGTACATGTGATTAAAACATACATTATTATTAAATAATATAAATATAAAATAGTAATATTAAATAATATTATTAAATAAACATACATTATTGTTAAATAATGTAATAATGATTAAGTAGGTGACATAGTATACTAAGCTTGCTTAAAATAAAGTCTATTCTATGTATTCAAAATGTGTGTTGAAAAATTAAATTATACTAGTAAGAATATTTACAAATAACATTTTATAGATTTACATTTTTGCAATAATAATCATTTAAATCAATATTAAAATTTAATTACTTGCATGGAATGAAGAAAAATGCAATTTTTCATTCTTTAGATGCTTTTTCAATGCATAATGGCTAGAAAATTTTACTACTCATTGCCATCTACTGATCTACTGAAATTTATATGTTGGTTATGAGCTCATCAATTTATCCACATTAAACTTATTCTTTTTGCTGAGTTGTCACATGTATATTAATATTTTATAGGTCCAGGAGGTGGATCAACTGCTGGAATGCAATTGCGATACTTTTTAGGGGAATTAGGAATGGTTACCCCTGGATTTATGTACACTATACCTGTTGTGCATAAAGCATTTTCTGAAGATGGAGTTCCAGATCCCTCAAATGATACTGCAGTATCGAAGGCAGAGAGATTAGTTTCAGAATTAGAATGGTATGCCACTGCATTGAAAACGCATAAGGAGAAACAAAACCTTCCTTGAAGTTCCTTTTGTTATATTTGCTAATTATTACATTTATTATGCATGTAGGTAATCTCTTTTTGTTAAATATAAGCTATGTGCTTTGAATTTTTTTTTATTAATGCTGCAGAATCTCTTTCTTGAACATTTGTAATTAATAATATTTCCTATCTGTGTTGGCATAAGTTTAAAAAACCGCTATTGTAAAATTGTCTTTTAGAGCTCGCAAAGATGTATCATTGTTTAGATTGGGTATTGATTAATGTCATTTAAATTAGTTCATGTGTGCTCATACAGATGTTTATTAACTTAAAGAAGATTTGAAATGTACTGTGTTATTCCTGTCTTTTCTGAAGTGTTGAGAAATTTTTTTATTTTTAAATTAGCTGCATATTTTATGCAGGAGATGTATGCTTTCTAATATTGATATGTATTGTATAACTTAAATTCTTTAGTTAAAAATGATTATGTGGTTTTTATTAATATATAACTGCTGTTACTGCAATAAGCTCTTATAAAGGAAAGCATTTTTTAAGTGCCGGAAAAATCAGAATGTGTTTATAAGGTTATAATTACATGAGAGATGTTTTGCACATTTGTACTGATTTTTCACTTTTCTTTCATATATGGCAATGCTGCTGGAGAGTACATGTCATTATTTTATATTAAATAGTGCCTTAAAGTGAAAATGAGTATTTTGGACATTTGCCTATAATAGTAACAGTGATTATATATTTTAAAACATTTTAGGTTTGATAATTTAGAAGTCTAACATATAGCATCATTTGAAGTTAAGGATGTTCAGCTGTACATCAATGTTAGAAAAACAAATTATTTAGAAATGAATTAGGATCATTTCAAGTTAAGGATGTTCAGCTGTATAGCATTGTTAGAAAAATAAATTGTTTAGTAAGATAGCTGTTGCTTGTTATTAAATGATAAAGGTACTTTTCCCAGTTCTTTTTCTTGTATATGTTATGTAATTACATGATTATGAAAGACTAGAATTTTCTTAGTTCTTATTGATATCTGTATGTTGAGGTTTATGTTCATTATGTGATTTATAAATTAATATTTTTTAAGCCTCAGAATTATATTTTTTTATATTTATACATATTTGACAATCTTAATATTCTGGTCTACAATGCAATGAAAGGCCTCAAGAAATGCATGGGAAATTTAAACTTACAATGAGCCTAATGAATTGCTATTGTGCCTTGCTTCATTCAAATGAGAATAAGAATACTAAAAATTTTGGATTTTACAAGTGTAACATATTTTCCAATGTAGATGTATAGTTGCATGTAATTTAATGATGAATGTTTAAGAGCCAAGCGTTGTGCAAATGCTCTTCTCCTAAGACTATCCATTCTTTTGCATATATTTAAATTGTTTTCTTCCTAGTTATATCAAGTTTACCATATCGTCTAATTAAGCTTTATTAAATTATCTAATAAATGTTTATTCATATATTTTCTTTCATTAATTGAGTAAGTTTTAAAATGTATTTTCTTCCTTTATGTTAGAACAGATGCATTTTCTGACACACAAGCTACTGTTATGATTTTAACTGCAGTAAATGAAGATATCAAAATTTTTATTATATTCTTTACATAAAATGATTGTTTTATATTTTAGTTAAATGAAGCTTATACTGTATTATTGAAAATGATAATTTTATTTTATAAACCAAAAGTTCAATGATAAAATTTAAATTGTGGAATAGAAACACATGCTTAAAAAACTTTTTGAAATCGCTGACATTTTTAACACATCTTGAAATTGTAATAATAAGACACAACATAATGAATAAACATAATTTAGAATATACATGCATTGTATTTGTGTTGCTTATATATATGTGTGCAGTGTTGTATACATTTCTTGGTACATTTTCTATATAATATTCTCTTGCAAGAAACACTTTTTGTTGTAATGTTTTCGTTATACTAACTAATTTATGTATTAGGTAATTTACTTATACTGACTTGATCTAAAATTCTGTATGTTAATTCAATTTTCATTAGTTGTGTAATTTAAAGGGAATTCTTTTAATAATTTCTTTATGTAATTTTACTCTGAAATAAATTTATCTAACTGGGATTTGCAGATAATCCATATGTTTATATCTACAAGGTATAAGACACATTAGAGTGTACCATAGATTAGGTATTGACAAAATAATTTCTTTTGTTTAATATGCAAGGGTTTCCAGACTGCATTTTGTCTTATTGCTTTAAGTTTAATTATATTAGGAGATTTCTTTTCGTTCTGAGACATTTCATTGTTTGAAATTAGGGTAATCAATGCCATAACATTCTGCTTCTTTTCTTGATGTTTTATTAGGGTGTCAGTAATTTGAAATTTGTTCACATTTATAGAATAAAGAATATTCTTTATAGAATATTCTTTATTCTATATATGTGAATGTGTGTTTCTATATATGTTCTTTATTCTATATATGTGAATGTGTGTTTCTATATATGTTCTTTTATAGAATAAAGAATATTCTTTATTCTATATATGTGAACATAATCTTTAAATACTTTTAAATTACCTTAAGTTACTTTTCATGAATGATTTACAAATTTTACAAGAGTTGTACAACTATTTATGGATTATCTCACTAATATTTGTGATGTATTGAAATTATCAACTATCATATTACCTACTTTATTTTTACATTGGAGGGTCACATTTATATTTCTCTAAATCAGCCAAAGGAATATATATATATATATATATATATATATATATATATATATATATAATCTGAATCAGTACTGATCCAGATTTTTTGATTGAGAATGCATAAATGGCAGCATATTTTGCTAAGAAATAATTGTTCCACAATTGAAAGTACATCATTATGTCAACATGACTGAGAAGTATGAAATTTTGCATGTACTCATAATATTTTGTATATTAAAACTTTAAAAACTTCACTTTCATTTTTACTTAAAAACGAAATAAATTGAATTTAGATTCAGACTGAGATTTATAAGTGTAAGAACCTAGCAACTGCTTTCAAATTCCATTTTCAAATTCCATTTTCAAAATTTCAAATTCCATTTGTTAAATATAAGCTATGGCTAAATGAGACCAGCAGATATATGAATGGTTGTAGAATTTCTTCAGATTAAAAGGTAAACAACTAAAATGTTTGCCATGCTGTAATCAGTTTTTGGAAATTGTTATAGTATAAATTGATTTAACATAGTATACAATTACTAAAATCTGAAAACAAATTGTAAAAGTGAAAAGTTGATAATTATACTTTAGTTTCAAAATCACATTAGTGAATGTTCTTGTGTTAAAATGATATGTATAAAATATGTAAAAATTTGTCATTGATGTTGAATTATTTATCACTAACTATATTTAATTGTAAATAATTTGCACCTTAATCAAAATAAACCTAAAAAATAACTTATTGGGACTAAATTTTGAAATATCATTACTTGAAGAAATACGTGAAATAACTTGGAACTTTGTGGAAAATTTAAATACTTTAAAAATATTCATAATTCTAAAGTGTTTAATAAGCCTAATGAATTGTTATTGTGCCTTGAGTAAATTCTTTCTTTCATTATTATCAGAATTCTAGAAATTTTAGTTTTTTAACTGAAAACTGTTGATTTACATACTTAAATTAATTTTAAAATGGTTTCCAAAGGCATATTATGGAAATTTAATCTTGAATTAAATTTTATAATAAACACTTTTTTTTTTATTAAAAGAAGCCTCATGATTAAGTAAATTCTTTTGTTTAAATATTTCATTTAAACAAATATATTTTATTAGGTAACATTTATCAGGTAATTTCTGTGCAACAATCAAGTAAATTTAAACCTCATGATTATTACTATTGCAATAAATACTCATACTGTTTCTATATATAAAATTAATTTTTTTCCCGCTTTAAATGATGTGATATATTTGATTGATCAATTGTATATTCTGTTTTCAATGTGCTTTTTTTCAGTAAAATTGCTATTTCTTACAAAATGTGTTGTTATTTGTTGTAACTTTAAGGTAGCTTAAGTGATTTCTTTCCTTTTCATAATTTTGAAAAAAGTGAAGAGCACATAATGTTTAGCTTTCTGTGGAAATTTTACTTAATTTTATTTCATAAATATGTAACAAAATATCTGATTTTGAAAGTTTTTTAATGAGAGAGAGTTTGCAATTATCTACAATTTTATTTTTCAGCTGTTGAATATATCAGCAACCTTAAATTGATTTTGTCACTTAGCTGTGCTGTCATTTTTGAAAATGGTATTTTTCTTCATTGGATCAATATTTTTCAACAGAAAGCTATGTCTAGCGTTAAGATCATCACCTATGATAATACAATTTCCAAATGAAGTGTAGTATTCAAATCAGATCGTATATTTGTGGGGTTCCGATTTGAGGGAATTATAGGTGGAAATAAATGTGTATGTCAAAGAACTGTTTGTTGTGAGTGTAACTGCTGTGGCCTCAATGGCTAAAAGCTGTGGAATTGTTGTACAATGCAAAAAATTTATGATGATGATGATTGTTTTAAGACTTATTTGAGTTTATGCAGGAGAGTCCATTTATTTTGTATCTTTTGCTACTTTCAATGGGAAGATAAATATCTCTTTTTAAGTTCTTTAGATAGTGATCACTATGTATTGCTGACAGTTTTATTTACTTAATCATAGTTAACAGTTTTAATGATTTTATTTACTTCTTCATAGTTAACTTATTTTGATTTCAGTATTTTATTGATGAATTTTATAGATTTACTATACAGCTTTCAATTTATTTGCAACTGGAAGTAATACATGAAAGTGCTCAAAGAGCAACAGAAAATTAAAGATTTATTATTAATTATCAAATTCTTCTGCACTTGCTGCATATAAAACAGTGTTATACTCTTGATTTGATTTTACTGTGTAGAAAGTAATAGAAATTTTTCAGGAATTGGAAAAAACCAATTTATTTTTGTTTAGTTAAATTTGATATTATTTATTGCATTAGAAGGGAAATTATCTTAATAACTATTTGTGATCCACTGAATTATTTTAGGTAGCTTTTAAGAATGTAAGAGCCAACAAATGGAATTAGTTTTTAAATGATCATGTATAATATCCATGTGGTGAATTATTAATCATATTAAAAGTATTTATTTCAGAACTTTGCATAAACCGCTTTAAAATTTTTATAATAATTAGATATAAAATAATATTATATTTTATTTAATTATATATATATAATATATATATAAATAATATTTCTATTACATAAACCGCTTTAAAATTGATATTTAAAGTGATGGTCAACAATTTCAAATACAATTTTTACTGCAATTTTATTGCTTGCCATTGTTTTATATTTGCGAAATTCTTTTCCTAGCAATTAGTTTGAAAGTTATAAGATGGCATTACTGATATGATTTGTTACTCGCTCTATAATTTTCGAAAATGTAGGCTAAAAATTTAATATTCAAAACGAGTTTTCTTTGCATTAAAAGTCCATTTTCTCTTTCCCAAATTTGAATGTCTAAAGACAGTGTCATAAAGGTTTTAGCCAGGTTCTTCTATTTATATGCTTATTTTCATTATTTCTTAAAATTTTATTGCATAACTTTGCTGAGTACACATATACACAGAAAGCTGAAAAATTTCGAAAGTATTCTAATATACAAAAAGTACACAATGCATATTGTGTCTAATACACAATATATATTTTTGCAAAATTAATGGATAAAGCTTATTTTTCTAGTATTTATATATATATATATTGTTACTTTTTAGAATATATATTTGGCGAATTATGCTCATACTATTTAGTAACTTTTAATTTCTTCTATAAGGAATATTATTTTTATAAATTACTTATTTGTTGCTTTTGCTTCATTCATTTTTATTTAAAAGTTTGTAACACAATAAAATAAATTACTTTCGAAATTAAAGCATAAGTTTTATAATCAGGACAATTTCTTTAAAATTTAGTTTTAACATGTGCTTCAAATGAAAGCTCTTGTTTGTTTTCCCTTTGGATGACTCCTTTAAAGTCACTGGTCTATTTAGACATTATTTTGTTAAGCGAATGGCAATCTACTTGGGCCATGGGTTTGCATATTTAATAATTTATTATATCTAATTGCTAGGAGTTGTGTTTAGTTCTAATCTGAGGCTAACTAAAGTGAAAATTAAACGTATATAATAATAATTTGCTTTTGGTTAATGAATTAACACTTTAGGGATGATGTGAAGTCATCTTGAGTAAAATAGTTGTATTTTATCCTCAATATAAATTACATTGTTCCTAAACTATGTCAGATAATAATAATATTTTTTTGGCGTCATCAGTGTATGTATTAGCACTCTTCTTTAAAGAAAAACTGAAACACTAATTACGATATTGTTTCATTATTGGAGTAGTCAACAACATACATGTATATCTTGCGCTACTGATGTATTGATTTCTTAAATACTAAAATAAGAATTTTGAGTTAATGAGTAAATAATAATAAATTGAATTTCTCTGTATTGCGATATTTCGCATTTCAGATAAAAGTTATTTTGCAAGTCTAATAGGCTCAGCCAAAGCCCCCTGATGACAGGCCTCCAAACCCATATTTCCAAACCGTATCCCACTTTTTGAATTTCTTACTTGTCAAAGAACTTCGCTTGAACCTTTCCGAAAAATCGTGCAGTTTTGCCTAATAAGCAGAAGCTGCCGTGGGCTTACATTAGGAGTGCCTCTGACATTTGCGGGATGTTTTGCGTGTGTTTGTTGAGAGAAATTTTATTTACTTTATAAAATTTATGTTTGGAAATCTATGTGAAATCTTTAAGTAACAGATGTCAACAGTCGGTGTACCATATTTGATTCTTGCGTATAAACAAACATCAGAAGAACAATTTATTTACGTGAATTTAAATAGTATATTAAATCTTACTAAGGTATTAATAACAAAAGTAAATACTTGTCAGTCCGTAAGTTCATGCACATTAAGAGTATGTGTGGAATTCACTATGACGCATTTACTAAAACAATTCAACTTTTAACCTGTAGAAACTTGTCATCGTTTGACTAACATATTATTCAATTAATCACCAACTTTCGTAAATATCGAATGCATTTTAGTACCTGTAGAAGATGAACATAGATAAGCAGTACAAACGTGCTGTGCTACATTTTTTATTTTCGTGTATGAATCTGCCAGGTTTGCGGCGATAAAAATTAATAGTGTACATAGTGAAAAATTAATAGTGTACAGTGTAAAGACTGCCCAGAAAGGGTTTAAAAAAAATTTAAGTTGGAAAAAGCAGCATTGATCATGAACTCCGTTTCAGGACGTTTGGAACTGTTAGAACCAAATCAAGCGATTCATTCAGAAGTTTATAGTGAACAACTTTGCCGTCTAAACTCAGAATGGATCAAAAAACGCTCACGATGGGTGAATATCAAGAAAGTGTTGTTTCATCATGATAACGCTAGACCGCATACGGCTGGAACAACGCTGCAAAAAATGAGTGAATATAATTGGGAGTTTTCGCCACATCCTGCTTACTCCTCAGATATTGCCCCAAGTGATTTTCACTTATTTTGCACCTTACAAAATTTTTTACTGGGAAAAAATTCAATTCTAAACAGGGTGTACACAATGAACTTTTAAGTTTTTTTCCATCAAAACCAGAGTCTTTCTACAGCAATGGCATAAAATAGCTGCCTGTGAGGTGGCGAGACATTGTAGATGATGGAGGAAAATATATAATTGATTAAAATGCTAAATTGTGTTTTTTTTATATTATTTAAAAATTTACCAAAAATGCGCACGAATTTATGGACTAAACCAATATGTAACATTAATCATAAAATTCAAGGACTTCTGTAAGACGAATTAGATAGGTTGGGAGACGTATAAAGCGTAAGTAGTTAAACAAAAAGTTATGTGTTTGACTACACAATCGTTATTCATGAAGTTGTAAGGTTTATCCTAAGTTTTAACAGTTAATTAGTTAAAGCTACTTTCCTGTACTTCCTAATTTCAGCTTACAATTTCCTACCAGAATATATTTTTAGAATCGCGGTTAATGCAAATGAGGGGTATTTAAGTCGAAGTTCCACTGACTTTGAGAGAGAGCCTCAGAGTTTCTGACTAGCGCGCGTTCCCCTTTTGGCTACGTTTCTCTCTAAGCCATTTTTATGCTCTGCCGTATTTTAGTCTCTTGATAGCTTCGCTATCTTATTCGATATTTAGGGGCCAAGTACTTAGAAATTTGAAAGCTTCGGCTATATCTTTTTAGTTAAGCATTAGTTAAGTTTTATTTCTGATTACTTTGAGTTCAAGCCCAAGTGGAAGCTCTGTTGTACGTTCTGAGAGAAGGACCGAATGTACACGCTTATTCTGAATAGTAAAGGGTAATTATCCCTTCTTCAGTTTACGTCTCTGTTTACGAACTAAAGCGATTATTCGCTAATCTGTTCTCGAGGTTCCTAAACATTTAGCTGTTAGATAAAAGGGTAGAACCTCACAAAGTTAATATGTTTTTGCTTAATCATATAAAGGCAACAAGATAAATATCAATTATATGTATATGAGAACAATTAATTTTAGTTAAAGCTACTTTAAGAAAAATGCATTTTCCTTTTTTTTTTCTGGCCTACCAGCAGACGAGCGGTAAAGTCGCTGAACGCAAATAATTCGATCTGGTTCGATTCCAGGCATGTGGTTAGTAATGCATGTCTTCAGTTCAGCTGATTTCCTTGGTAGATCAAATTTTCTTCTTTGTATCTATATTTAATTGTAGAATACTGAACGGGTTGCTGCGTATTTGGGTTTTGTAATTTCTCTATGTGTAACGTAAATACGAGCTAGTTTCCATTAGAAAGTCAAAGCCCACCAGCGGCCGAGTGGTAAAGACGCTGAACACTAGTAGTTCGGTCCGAAGTTCGAACCCTGCGAACGGGCTGGCTGCATGGGCATTTTCGTAGTTTTCTCCATTTGTAACGTGTATACGAGCCAGTTT